ATGATCCTCCCCAGCTTCATCATCTTCTTCTTCATCGGAAGAAGCCTGCTTCTTGCTCCCATGATCCTCCTCATCTTCCTTCTCAGCTTCATGTCCGTTTTCTTCATTCGTCCACTGCTTGGGGTCAACCGGGATTCCTTCCCAATACCATGATGGAGGATTCTGGCCATCAACCAGCTGTTCATCTCCAGTTGGTTTTCCTCCCTCATCCCCATCCTCACTTGCACCATCCTTCTTGCTTTGTCCCCCTTTCTCACAGTCCTCATCTTCGCCTTCTTCGTCTGAAGACTTGGGCTCGGCTTTGTCGTTTGTCCCCTTCACACCTTCATCATCTTCTTCTTCTTCCTCTTCTTCACTGTCACTCCCAAAGAGGTGGCGAGTTAGCATCTTCCCAAATTCGGACGGGTTTTCATTTGCTCCATTTGCTCGCTCTTGGTGCGTCCGTTTTCCGATTTCCTGTTCTTTACTTGATTCTTCTTCATTGCCAATGTTTTTGTTTGAAGGTGCCGGCTTCCCTTCATGCTCTTGTTCTTCATCTAGGTCTGTTTCTCGAGCTTCTTCATCCGAAGGTTGCTTCTCATCCTTCTCTTCATCACTCTCTTCACTTGAAGACTGTTCTTCATCGCCATCCTTCTCATGAGTTTGGTCACCGTCCTCCGCCTCTTCATCATCATCTTCTTCTGGACACGACGAGAGCTCTTCATCATTGGCATCCTTCTGGCCATCATCTTTTTCACCCTCCTGCTCATGACCATCATGGTCATCCTCTTCATTCTCGCCATCCTTCTGACTACCACCGCTGCTGTCCTTGGCATCATCATCATCTTCTTCTTCTTTGTCATTGTCATGTGGCTGTTTCTTACCATCACCCTGCAAATCATCATCATCCTCCTCACCATCTTGCTGGTCATCCTCCTCCTCTTCCTCAGTGCCATCTTTACCAGAAGGCCCTTCATCTTCACTTGAGTCATCCTCATCCTCATCCTCATCATTCTCGCTAGCCTGTTTGCCTTGAACCTCCTTATCGTGCTTCTCATCGTCCGAAGGGTCTTCCTTCTCACTATCATCTGCATCAGAGCCAACGTTCTCAGAAGATTCCTCTTCACTGCCACCATTGCTTTCCTCAGCCTTGCGCTTCTTATTGCTTTTCACAACCGTTTCTTCTTCTTCACTCTCCTGGCTAGCAGGCCATAGGACAAGGGGTCATGCCTATGGATGTGAAGGTTGCACATTGAAATGCAACGAGGGGGCCTCCGCAACAGTGCTGGTTGTTTCCTCATCGTCCCCAGATTCGACAGTCTCAATCTTGTTGGTCCCACAGGCCTTCCTCAACACCAAGGTTTGGAACAGCAGTTCTTTACACTCTCAATACCCTGGGTTGGAACAGCAGTTCACTGTGAATGAGCTAACTAAGCTGGGATGCATCGAGGCTTGATCGAGGCAATCAAAGTGGAAGGGTTGCGTCTCAGCATCATCAGGGGTCCTCAGCATACTATCGATGCGATCGATGGACATATTTTGGGTATGATTGAAAAATGACAGTACAATCTAGCGTCATCAAGGAGTTTGAAGAAGAAGATGGCCTGGTTGACAACTTTTTGTGGCGGAGAATCACGCGATGGCATCTAGATGCCTTGGCTATCCAAGCCACGCAACTATCCATGCAATCCACTGCTACTGCATGTTGTCTACTAATGATGATCCACCATGGGACCTGCTGTTTGATCCATTCCTCACGCTCTTCTCTACGAGAATGGGGGCCTCAGTTGAAAGGAAACAAGTGTTTTAGAGCACTCCGGGTTCCCAAATACCAACGATAGACATAAATCAAAACAAAACATACGTGTAAGCACACCACCAAGTCTCAAATATCTAGCAAATTGGTCAGCTGCCCAATGACCTTGCGGACCTCCCCTTCTCTAGGAACGCGTTGAACCTTAGAGTCCTGAAAGGCTCTGCGGAGCCATTGGTTGCCTGCACACCTTAGGTCCCCTCCAGGCACCAATTCATGATCCTCTTTGCAAGAATCGGGGATCGATTTTTGAATAGCTCTTCGAAGTCGCCTAAGATGAAACGATGATATTGAGCGATCCCAGCGCAATAACAAACAAACATGCCAACTGGTGTGGCAGCTATCCCATCCAAGCTGCTGTCCATCCTTAGACAGATCCTTCAACTTCTTCCCAGGATCCACCAAATCGTGATTTGCCATGGCCAAAAGAGGATGGGTAGTAGAATAGGTCACAAGTGTTGGACCATTGGAGCACAACATATATTTTGATCCCTTCTGGTTCGTGATCTACCTTCCCATCCACGGTTGATGAACCTTTGCAGTTTACGTGTCATCGCACCGACCGAGCCTGCAGGTGCTATGGTGGTGGCGCTGCGTCCCTTCTCTCGCTCACATCATCTCATACCCCTTCATCACACCCTTCATGGTTGGAACTAGGTCTCTTAAATATCAAGAAATATCAAGAACATAACATATCAAAAGGTCACTTATCTTTCGATGTTGAGCTTAAGTGAACGCTTTGTTTTTTTGGCTCATGTGACCTCTATTTGGGGTCGCTTTGAAGAACCTGGTATATATATATATACATCATATATATTCTGTCATGTTCTCTCAATTTGATATATTGTCGAAATGTGTCGAATGTGTTCAACAGGAATTCGGACTTCGCCTTAAAATTTGCGAAGCGCATACGTTGTTCTTCAACGCCATACGCCCGCTGATAGGTGGAAAGGAACTGCTGATACTTCGCCCACAGCCTTGTCGCCAAATCATCTTTAGATCCCTCTTTGTACTCTGCCCCCCCCAAAAAAGAGTGTCTGCCCAAAAGGTCTGCCCAAAAACACAAGATCTTGGGTCAGATTAGAAGCAGGTCTTCTGAGGGCTGCCTTCCAAATGACTGCAAATCCAAAGATCCACTTGCTGCGTCCGTGTATCCTTGCTTGTACGGAAGAAATGCATCATTTTTCCCAAGTATGGAGTAAGTGCTACCTCGTTGCCCTCATGCCTCATGACTGTGCCAAAAGGTGTGGTGCTTGTCAGCCTGTGGCTAGTGACACCAGCCATTTGAGATGCGTGACACTCGCCGAAAAAAACTGAATACGAAAAAAGGCTGTTTAATTTCAGCGGTGTCTGGCTTTCAGCTGCAAGATTTGTAAGCTGCAGGGCCCATCCAAGCACTCGTCTTCAGCTCTCGCCACGACAAGTGTTATCAAGACACTGAAAAAGACAGCGCTTCCATGCGGTCCACGCGTCATGGCAAGATATGACAGCGCTTCTACGGATGCTTCCACCTCTCCCAAAAAAACGTTGTAAAAGGTGATCTATGCTTGATAACACGCCACAGGATTGCTTTTTGGTGGCACGGCTGTGTCGTTGCATATTACAAGAGTGAGAACCTAATGTTACCGGATCTTCTATTTCCAAGCTGACTCTGATATTTGCTTTGGCACAAGCTGGGGCCACAATGCTGAGTGTCGACACATCGTTACTTGCATTGGGACTGAGGGCACCAGCCTGGCGTGTTTGGTCGAGGGTCGTCCCCAATCGGTTTTGTGGCATGCTCAATCCTCCGGATGTACGTACTTTCGCACGTGCATGGATATCAGGGGGTCACATGAAAAGGTCAGGTGATCTGCATGGATTATGCAGGTGTCACATTGGTGTCACATTTGAATATCAAAGGCGTAAAGGGTGGATGAGGGTGGCCCATAATGTCGATGTGCTATGCGGTTCGTCATGCAAGTTTTGCGATTCCATGTCACGCAGTCTTTGCTAAATGTAGTCTTCAATGGTCTTCAGGTAATTTGCTCTGCATGCCGCATGGCTATCTATTTCACATCAGCTAAGCCTCCTCATTGCACCCGTTCACCCTCAATGTCTCAGGCAACTTCAGCTGTGAAATGACTTGAACGAGCCCACTCCAAAGGAATCTTCGCGCAAGCTGAATACCTATGCTGCGTGCGATACGTGCTCGATGTCCGAGTTCGAGCAAGGAAGGCGCTGTCCAGCGCTGGCGCTGCGAGGTCAGTGCTCCACAGGGGTCGCAATGGCGACAAAAGCCCCTCCTTGCTGAGCTGCATGATGCGTTCCCGAGACATCTTCACCTGGAACGCACGGGAACATCGCGGAAAGCGGGGGAACATGGGATTCCGACGACGATTTGTGCAGGACATCAGGAGATCATAGAGCACATCCACGCCGAATGTGTGAAGGTTTAGCTTGAACAATCCTTTGCCAGTTGTGGGAGCTCCAGCCAATGCTGGAATCACAAAAAATACATAGACTAGACAAAAGTTAAAACACTAAAATCTTGTGATCTTCGAAGAGTCTTTGCCACAGCATCCTATGAATCTTCAAATTCCACTCGTGGTCTTCACTCAATGCAAACCTCTCAACCGCGCCCACAAAAGTAACAGCATCACCCAGCTACACTCCCTGCTACCCAGCTCTGGGGGCAAAAAAAAGGCTTCGATCATCGAGGGAGCGCGCCTCGGCCCCCATGAAGACCCATACGGAACAAACACCTTAGGGCCACAAGCTGCAACGAGCGCTAATCGGCAGACGAAATGTCCTCACTGAGTTCAATAAGATGAAGGTGCTCCATACCTCCTTTCAAATGCTGAGGGGTTGGATTTGTCAACAAAGGATGATGATCTTGTCTGCTGCCTTGTTCTTTGGCTGTGGAGCCTGGCTCTACGGATTCTAAGCACTTCAATTGTGGTGCCTGAGTCCGCCAGAACCAAGGCCCGTCCAAACCTATTAAAACCTTCTGGTCAGCACGAATGGTCACGGTGTCTCGTTGTCTCGTGGACACATGCAGTCTGGATGGGTCTTGACACCTAAGAACCCAGCTCTGGGGCAACGGAATCACCTCAGATTGATGTACTACTTGCATTGACTACGTGACGACTTGCTTTGACTAGCATGCCCTGCATGGGATTGAATGGAAGCATTTCTGAGATTTGATTCGATACTTTAGGCGAACAACCCTGATATTGATGGAATCAATTCAATATAAATACAATAATGTTTGCATTTTTTGCATACACTTGAGATGTGGCCTTGGCCACTGCGAAGAAGAAAATGTCGTCGGAGGGATATCGGAAGTACTCCTGGAAGCTGGTACATGAAATTGGCTTCCACTTTTTGACCGCCCAACAACAATTAACAGAACAAACAACTCGGAAAGGGACATCGATGTTCGCAAAGTGACAAAGAACACATACAGAAGATGGACAGTGGAAATCAATCTATGATAGCGCAGCGCAAGAATGAAAGCATATCCCAAACACAAACATGTCCAAATCCCAGAACTTGGAAGCCCGTGATGCAATCCTCATAAAACCTTGAAACTGGAGGCAAACTTCAACCTTGGTAATCCACTGTCCTGAATCGGCATGCATCCCATGATGCACTTCCGGATCTCCTGAGCAGGATGTAGCTGAAACATTTCATGATTCCTCAGCACAAGATGCCCCCTTCCAGCTTCAAACAGGATGTCTTAATGTGTCGCGCAGAGTCAGCAAAATTTCAGTTATTTTTGCACAATTGGCTCCTTCAAATCCGTGCTGGAGAAGTGAAGGGGCACGCCGCTCAGGACCTCAAGTGCACGTCTCGTCTTGTTTGTGAAGCCACTCCACACCTCAAGCCTCACTCAAGAAGCAGTCTGGCTCTCAATGCATTCTTGTTCCAGTGCGAAGTACTTCACAAGGATCTGTGGGTTTATTTCTTTCAGGCAAGACCAACCAAATATCCCAAACCGGTACCCAACCAACGCAAGAGACGGTCACGTGAAGTAAAACTGAGCCAGGCAGGAGAGAAAACAGCGGTGCCAGAGTCCCCCTCATCCGATGTGAGGGCCAAGGTCCAGGCATGATTCTCCTTCACTGCCAAGTATTGGCCTCGAGGGCATTCGAGGGCACTTTCCAGATGATTCATGGCTTAAGTTGATTTATGCCGCTCAGCGTTCAATCGCGTTTGGAATGCAACTGTGCTTATGGCGGTTGTCCCTGTTTGCAAGCTAGTCGCCAACCAAATGTCCGGTTGCTGGAACAATGAATATGTAAGAATCAGGAATGACTGGCCAAGCACCAAGGAAAGCCACAACACACAAGGATGTGTTTATAATAGTAGTCAATTGCTTGAATACAGTGAATGCCTTGGAACCTTGCTAGGTTTTTCTCATGCATAGACTATCCGGTGATAACTATCAGAGTTTTGCAAATGAGAATTGTTCCTCATCATCCGGGCGGCACCATGGCATCTAGTCTACCACAAACAAACAATACACATCACAGAAAACAGCAACATCATTGGGACCATGGAATTGCTATGAGATGCTATGAGGTTGGAGGCCATCGCTAGCAGGTTGGAGGCTATCGCTCTTAATTGGGACCATGGAATTTCGATGTTCATCATCCCCTTCACTCGTCTTCACGCATCTTCGCTGACTCCGGCCACAGCCACCGCCCCATAAAGCCCCATTCTGGGCATCTGTACGTGCCGTCTTGAGAGTGTTTTTCTCCTCGCGAATAGAAACTCCGGATGAATGTGTGAAGTCAACATGTGCTGGAAAAACAGTATGGTTGATGCTACTTTATTCCTGAAACAACTTGCTTGAATCTGACTCCAGAGTTAGCTATGAGGGTCGATGAAGGAGGCTTCGACCGTCTATGGGTGCATTGACTTACCAAGATATCTGTAAACATTCACCAGTCTCGACCGTCCCATATTTTGCTTACTTTCTGATTTTTCTTAGACTTTCACAAGGCCGCAAGAGACACAACTACACCCTTATTGCTAGAAGCAACACTGTTTCATTATTCCTTTCTTAATTTATTGATTCCTTTATTTCTTTAATGATTGAGACCTTTACAGGCTTTGGTGTCTTTGGGCATGTCTACTTGAAAAGACGAACAAAGTCTTTCAGACGCGACCAGTTTCCTCGAAAAAACTTTACCTCATTGATGTTCCTAGTAGCGTCCTTGCTCCTACTTTCTTTGTTGATTCGGCTCCTTCCAGTGACTTGCCCAGGCTTCACCTTGGAACGTCGCACTTACAGGCTGACCAGTGCCTTGGGCCCTCCCGGCATTCGCTGAGTTTTCGTCCGCAGTTTCACACGCTCAACAAAGAACTGCCACTAGGACGTGGTGCCCCATGTCTTCCAAAATTGAGAGGCTGCATGTTGTTCATTTTGCTGGAAGCATTCCTGACTTTGAAAGGCACTTCTGAAGACGTACGTGCTAAACCCTTCAGTCCCTCTTGTCCTTTCGTCCTTCAATTTTGTCGGCATGGAAGCCAACACGGAGCTTCGCAGCTGGCAGCTGGACACCAGTGGAAGGAGCAGGTTACAATGCAATTGGTTTCCTGCGAAATGCCCTTTTCAGATATTTTCCGAATGTTTGGCCAGGAAGGTCCCTCCGCCGAATAGCCCCTCAATATTGTATCTGAGCGTCATCACGTCCTATCTCTGTGCATTTCATCAGTTCTCGGCACTAAAGTAGCCATCACCAAAGGTTGAAACCCTATAAATATATATATATACATATACATATCACTGTGCATTGGCTCCGGTCTACCTCAAACCCCGTGCCCCGTTGAGGCCCCGGCGACAGGACCTTGGTTAAGCATCTAATTCGGATGTGCGACATCACACAAAACAATTTGGTTGCAATGACTGGCTCTTCTGGTTATTCTTGAAGGGCCCTGTTGATTCTCATAAACTCCTTGAACGCTTCAAACATGGATCTGAGCTGGAGAAGATGGAAGCATCATTAGCCCGTGGCTGTTCCAGGGCCTTCATTCCAGGGCTCCAGGCGTTTTGTATTCAGAGGCATTGAAGGGCGAAGGAGCTCCCCAGGGCTTGATGGCTTGATCCTGATGGAGATATCTGAGATGCGGATGAGTCCCGGATGAGAGGATGCAAGACATTACACAACGAACTGCTGATGACATTTTCTCGGTGCAAGAAAAATTAATATTCAGTTACTGACAGGTTGAAGAATAGGAGCAAGGACGCTACTAGGAGCAAAGGGCATCGCTACTAGGAACAAGGACGCTACAAACGGGGCTCCTGGCCTTACTACTAGGAACAAGAAGCTATTAGCTTATTGTTTCTACTAGCTTCTTGTTACTACTAGTAAGGCACTTGTTACTACTAGCGTGGCACTTGTTACTACTATTTTGATGAGATTGACCGTTCCATTGTGATCGTTCGGGTGTTTCCAGTCCGCTTCATCGTAGGCCCAGTCGACATCCAGGACGCATTCCTTTTCTAAGTGCAACCTCAGCCAACGAGCCAAAATGACACAAGTGGTCTATAGGCCGGTCAATTAAAGTCTCTACAGCACCATGGGACCACTAACGTCTAAAGGATGAATCTAAACTGTCTTGGGATCCGGTGTTCTTTTGGATCCTTGGGCACCTGTTCCTAGTAGCGTGGCACTTGTTTCTAGTCGCTTCTTGTTACTACTAGTAAGGCACTTGTTACTGGAAGCGATGCACTTGTTCCTAGTAGCTTCCTACCCCCCCCTTTCCGGTGTTTCCGGATAGCTATGGATTTTTGTCTCGGCCTTCTGCAGTCGACAGCAAGTTTCGGGTACTGCCATGTCTGCCAATAGCAAACTAAGAAGTAGACGCGCCCTTGCTCCCAGTAGTAAGGCCAGGAGCCCCTAGTAGCGTTCTTGTTCCCATTGAAGAACACACAGATCTTAACAATTCGTAACGTTGTCGATTTGGGCTCAAGCTCTCAGATTCTATAGAGTTCATTCGGACGAGGATATTAGACCGTTCTTCCTTGCTTCTTTTTTCTAATGGCGATGGCCTCCAACCTAAGCACCCACATCTTTCAGGTGAAAAGGGAATCATTGCAGTACACATCACTTGTCGTCAGCACCTTCTGGCCCCAAAACCCTTCACCTTGACCGCAAAATGGCGCACTTCCAATCCAGTCTTGACCAACTGTTTGGATTGATTTAAAGCCATCGATCCGCAAGAAACCGCAAAACAATTGCACCCTGAATTGGACCTCAGCAAGGCAGGCCGCCTTACCGTGCTAGCTGCCTTCTGAACTTCAGCTCAGGCAACTCTGCAAACTCGCCACCCTGGTCCTAGCGAAAGCCTCCCCGTCCGCTCGTGGCCCGTGGCCCATGGATCCGAAGAGCAAACAAAAAAAAACAAACATACATATGAAGAATTCTAAACGAACAAACAAAGAAAACATCAGAATAGATGTATGTTTTCGTGTTTTTTCTCCAAAGAGCAAGTATGCACGTAGAGCTTCGTCACGTACTTCGCTGTCTTCATAAGCGCTTTCGAAGCCAATGCGCATGCGGATCATCCGGATCTCAGGATCGCTGATCGAGACCCAAGCTAGAGTCACACCACTAGTAAGGCCAGGAGCGGCCCGTTCGTCCGTTCGTAGAGTCCTTGCTCCTAGTAGCGATGCCCTTTGTTACTAGTAGTTTCTTGTTCCATGAAACTATGATTGATTGCAATTAAGTCTTAGATAGTCCTAGTATGGTCTGCCTAGATCACCGCTGAGATTGTGCCGTGCGCCTGCTAGATTCTAGAGCGATTGAGGACTGAAACATGCTTCAACTAACTTCAACAATCCATTGCATCATTGCATCGATATATTCTTCAAGAAAAAGGCAAACAAATTTGATGTCCAGACCAGCCAAATTACTAGTAAGAATATCCGATCCATAACCTCCTACGGGCCATTGCGACTAGGGTGACTAATAGGTTGGAGGCCATCGCTACTGGGGTGGAGGCCATGACTACTAGGCCAGAGGCCATCGCTACTGGGATGGAGGCCATCGCTGGCAGGTTGGAGGCCAATCCCTAAAATGGACGAAGAAATGGCGAATTAAATAGAAAAGAATCTCCAGGTCGAAAGTCTCTAGGCCTCCCTGCGCTTTCTTTCAGCTCATTCTCAATATTCCTCTCTAACGTCTCCGCTGTGTGGGCAGACACCTTGGGACCTTGGCACCCAAATGACTTGCTTGTTCTCGGGATGAGTGGATGAGTGGGTGGACACCTGCATGAAAACAACTAGGTTGGATCAGCTCTATCTGTTCTTTGTGCACTAGTAGCGTCCTTGCTCCTAGTAGCGATGCCCTTTGCTCCTAGTAGTTTCTTGCTCCTGGTAGTAAGGCCAGGAACCCCTAGTAGCGTCCTTGCTCCTAGGTGAGGATAAACACGGCTGCAGGATCTGGTCAATGCATTCTGCGCCTGAGGTCTCTGCCGACTGGAATCGCAACATCCTGTGGGGGCGGCTCTGGATATTGATGGAATCGTGCTTTCCACATGGCTTGCCCAAATTGCAAGAGGCTTGAAGACTTGTCAATGAGCCATGACTTTTTTGACTCTGAGAACTTAGGCCCCTGTGCAGGCCAACGCATTTGGAGAAGCTGGCTGTGAAGCCAATCTCAGGAGGCTGTCATGCAGTCTGTACCTGCATGTAAGCCTACATCTTCGGAATTGCAAAAGAGCCGTGCTGCTTGGCAGCTCAACTTGACACTTGGACACATAGCTTTCCTGCGGATGCCCAGCTCATGCTTTTGGTCAGGACAGCAGGCACATCAGTGAAGGGGACAATGGAATCCACTGGCACTTTCAGCTTTCCTGTCGGGGCACATTGCTATTGGGTTTGAAGGCCATTGCTGGTTGGTTGGAGGCCATCGCCATGAGAAACAAATCGGATAACCCCACATGTTAACAACTTCACTGGACACAGGGGCGGACAATTGGTGGTTGGTGAGGAGCTTCAGCCCAGCACTCAACTTGGTGACAATTGGTTGGTGAGTGACAAGTGGTGGAGGAGCGGGGCGAGGGAAAACCGTTTGCAAAACAAAACGCACGTCAATGTGGGGAAAAACAACTCAATAAAAGGGAATGGAAAGAAAAAAAAAGGTATAATATAGTTTGTTATTAGGTTGAAAGCCATCGCTCCTGCTTTCACCAACGCCACGAGCTTTGTGAGGTCATCCGCGTTGGATTTCAGTAGGAACACCTTGAAGGCATGATCCTCTGTGGACTTGACGTCTCCGAAATTCGCAATGCTGACGAAAGTGCCTCCTTTCTTCAGGACCTTGCTTGCCTTGGGCCAGTCTTCAGGAGTTCCCACGCAATCAAAAATCAAGTCGTAATCCTTCCCTGCGAGCACATCAGCCCAGTCAGCCTCTTTGTAGTTGATGACTTCATCGGCACCAAGCTGCTTCATAAAGTCAATCTTGCTCATTCCATCGGATGTCTTGTTTGGGCTTGCTGTAGTGGCAACATAAGCACCCACTGTCTTGGCAAGCTGAATGGCAATGGCTCCAGTGGCAGCCGCACCCCCCAGGACCAGGAGCTTCTGCCCAGCACTCAACTTCCCAAGCTCGGCACCTGCGAAGTCACGTCCAGCCCCGGTGAAAATGGCCTGGTAAGAGGTGAGCCCGGCCAAAGGCAACCCGACCAAGTCCTTCGAGCTCAAGCCATCTCGTTTGGCCACGGTGTCCGCTAAAGCCACTGCATACTCTCCAAAAGCTCCAGCTGGTCCACAAGGAGAGTCCGTGCAGCAGGTTTCACAAAGCCCAGTGTCCACACAAACCTCATCTCCCACAGCCAGTCCTGTTAGGTTGGAGGCCATCACTCTCTTAGGTGAGAGGCCATCGCTAGTAGGTTGGAGGCCATCGCTACTAGGTTGGAGGCCATTGCTCTTAGGTTGGAGGCCATGGCTAGTACGTTGGAGGCCGTGGCTCTCAGGTTGGAGGCCATAGCTCTTTGGTTAGAGGCCATGGCTCTCAGGTTGGAGGCCATAGCTCTTAGGCTAGAGGCCATGGCTCTCAGGTTGGAGGCCATAGCTCTTAGGTTAGAGTGTTAGAGACCATGGCTCTCAGGTTGGAGGCCATCGCTCTTGGGTTGGAGGCCGTGGCTCCTACGTTGGAGGCCATAGCTCTTAGGTTAGAGGCCATGGCTCTCAGGTTGGAGGCCATAGCTCTTAGAGTGTTAGAGGCCATGGCTCTCAGGTTGGAGGCCATCGCTCTTAGGTTG